ATCTATGTACAATATATTTTCTTAAATACATTTTTAAAGTAACACTACTGTACTTTCTGTTATGTCTTGGTTTATATATTAATTTACCATTCAGTGTGAAACAGGTTTTCTGTCAACCTGCCAGCAGGCAGGGCTATGATACAATGACAGAACACCGACAATCTTTACCAGGATACCTTGTGAAAAAAAGTACGTCTCGTGTGGGTATTGTGCAGTTTTCATAAGGTGAATTGGCATTATTTAATCCAGTTAAAAATAATAAACTGGCAGATTACATATTTGTATAGACAAAATATCAGAGAACGCAGAGAAATCCACAAAAATGGATTACGGCATTATATTGGAAAATAATAATTCTTGCTTGCATTAAAATGATATGTTTTAGTGCACATTAGCTATAATGTTACTCCTTCCCCAGAGCAGAAGAGGCTGAGCCAGAACTATTATGTTGAAACAGACACTGTTCAGCTGGGGGTTTTTTATTATTGATTTTCTCTTCCCCCTTAAGTGTAAAATCTTTTCCTTTTAAACAGAAGTGTACTGGGGGTGGATTTGGGGGGCGGGGGGGGGGGTAATAGGAAAAAAGTAGAAAGGGAAAAATGCACAAAAAATATAGTGAAAAGAAAAAATATAACACTTTCACATTTTTGTACATATTTCCCCCCTTACAATACCGTAAAAACAAATACCATTTGCATTTGTGGTTTGAACAGACTTTTTTAAAGAAGGCATTTTATATTATAAAGGCAGCACAAGTACCATCTGAAAAAGTGGTTGCTACAATAGTTGAATGCAAGAAAGTAGAAAACATTATACAAAAAACAAACCCTGATTTTAAGATAATATATCTGCCCGTGACAATCTACTACCATTTTAACATGCATGTCTCCCTTTCCTCCTTCTAAGAAGTATAGCCAGGTCATCTGAACAAATACCGTCACTCCTTTTTTAATAATAATTGCCCCTCTGTTTTGCCTTGCACATATTTGCAATGGGGCAGAGGTGAGTTGTCTACATACAGGAGCAGAAGAGTTATATTAAGTGATTATTAAATCATGTTTTTTTCCCTCCAGTGAGGTGGTTTTTTTTGGTTATAGTATATTACCTGCCACAAGGTTTCAACTGTCATGAGTCAGACCCGCCCCCACACACCAAATCATATTGGTAAAAAAAAAAAAGAGATTTTAAAAAATAATAGTTTGGGGAATCTCTTCATTTGCCTTCTGCTTTCTGAGCCCTTCGAGTGCATGTTTTCAACCTTTTCTCCATAGCCATGAGGACTTGAAACTCACTTTAAAAAAAAAGGACTCCAGGAGCTGGGGCTTTAACAAAAAACACTAAATATTTCAAAAGTTGCTATCAAATCATAAGTTAGTAACACTGTGTTTAAAAAGTACTTTCTGCAGAAAATCCACATAGGTAAACAACATTATAGACTTTATGCCTTCAGTAAAAGGATTCCTTAGTTATTTTTGTTCTACTCATCAGTGCATTTGGAACTGATATGCAATACATTTTTGAGTCATAGTTTCCTATAAAATTTGCTCTCCTGGGCCTCTGTCAAATACAGTATAAATAAAGTCTGAAATACTTAGTCTACTTGTACATTAAAAAACCTCCACTTACATAACTGAAGTTAAATTCTTTGGCAGTCATTTAAAAAATCTGGACTATTGATAGAAAGACAACAGCTGAAAAGTTGTCCGATCCTGAGGTAATTTTAGGAGTGTTATAACAAAGAGGAATTATTAATAATACATTTTCCTGTCCAAAAGGAGTTCACCCTTTTCAGAGGCAGTCTCTTTAGTCCTCTTTCTCAATTTCTGTATAGTCTTAAGAAATCCTGCTGCATATGCCCAATTCTATGCATTGTTTAGTGAGACAGTGAGCATGTTAGAGAGAATTCATCCTATGACTAGGAAAGCAAACACTTTAATGAATTAGAATCTTGAGTTTACCAGCAAGATTAATTATATATTCTATCAGAACATCCACAAATTAGAATGCTGCTGCACATTAAAATGTACACACTGTAGCTTATAGAGAAGCTGGGAGAGAAAGGAAAGATGGTTTATGGAGTCATAACAGATGTCATCTGAACATAATTAATGGGGTCAGTGTCAAGTACATTTTTAAAACGCTCTATTGTTTGCATACCCTTTTAGTACAACAGCTTGAAAATAATGCACTTGGCAAACAGTTTTTGTTTTGGTTTGGTTTTTGCTGAAAACCTAATGGAACACAGCTTCTTTCTTTTGTTTGTTTACCCGCATAATCAGTTATGTCAGCATAGTTCTCGGAACTGTGTCCTTCTATTTACTCTACAGCAGAAGAGCACATAGCGCTTGAGACAGACAGACTTGAGCTATTTATTTTTTATTAAAATTTCCTGGCAACAGAGTGATGAAGGATGTTAGAAAAAAATTTAAATAAGACATTTACCTTCCAGGGGATAACCCCTACCAAATGAGAGAAGATAGGTCAAAGTTAAACCTAATACTTGACACTGTTCCCTTTAAAAATGTGGGAAACAAACTTTTTTAAACCAAATGAAAGTCTGCTCAAATATATATATTAGTAAAAGCCATGCCTCTTTTGCTGGCATGCTGCATTCTTGCAAACGGCAAGGAGTTATCCATTTTATACAAGCTCAGTTAGGGTATGTCTACACTTAAAAGGCTACAGGTGCTCTTGTAGCACTTCAGTGTAGACACTCCGTACAATGACAGGAGTGGTTCTCCTGTTGCTATAGTTAATCCACCTCCCTGAGAGGCGATAGTTAGGTTGACAGAAGAATTCTTCCATCAGCCTAGCACTGTCTACACTAGGGGTTAAGTCGGCATAGCTAAGTCTCTCAGGGTTGTGGATTTTTTACATCCCTGAGCAGGGCCGGCTCTGGCTTTTTTGCCGCCCCAGGCAAAAAAGCCTCCAGCCGCCCCCCCCCCCT